ATTATTATCCCCATTTTGCAGTTGAGGAAACTGAAATAAATAGAGGTTAAGAGCTAGTAAGAACCTGAGACTGGATTTGAACTCAGGTCTTCCTGTCTCCTGACCCAATGTTATCTACTACACTACCAGCTGCCTCTTGTATCTCTATAAGAGAACCCATAGGTCCTCCAGTCATCTTTTTTTGTGTATAAGGAGACTTGGGTTAAATGGCAAAGCTAGGATTTGAATACTGGTCCTCTAAAACAGGGTTCTCTCCACTCTATCATTCCCAGCATCATGGAGCTAGTTGATGAATAGCTGGGCTAGAACCCAGGTATTCTAATGCACTGGGGCTAATGAGATTAAGAACTAACTTCAGGGTACCTGGTTCTCATTTCTCCTGTAAGACCCTGCACAGGAGTCCTCTGTTACTTTCTCCATGGTTTTACCCAATAGAGAACTTTTTCTGTGGTGGAAAAGCACATTGATTCCCTCCAGTCTTATTGGTCTAATGCCTTAGGTAGTATCATTAGGCTCTTTTTCACAAATACTAATGAGCAGCCTGACTTTAGCAATCCACATAAATGTGGATCTGTCTCCTACCCCCAGGATGTTACAGGGACCTGGGTGAAGGGTCCTCATTGCAAAAGTCTATTAGACCAGGGGCTTCCTCCTTAGGCAGCCTGTACTTTCCTTACTCTTCAACAGGAATGCAGAAATCTGTTCCAACTTCCCATAGAATGTTCTGCTTAATTGTATATCTAATTTCTCAAAATTTAAATCTCTGGTCTTTGTGACCCAAGACTTCCAGTTGCTATAACATCTCAGCTCTCCCTCTCTTTCCCTGTTTAGAAGGTGCCTATTTCTTAGAATAATGGGAATTTTGAAAGGCCTGTTTCCTCTTTTGAATAGCATATTCTATTTCCACCTTCCATGTGGGACTCCAGTTGAGTCAGGCAAACAGTACTCACATTTGCTAACAAATAATAACAATAATCCTTTTGGCTTTCTTAACCGTGGAGCCAACTGAATGACTTCAGAGGGCTAAAAGTGGACCAGCAAAATGAGAGAGAATGAAACTTTTGTAACATTTACATCCCTTCTAGCCAGAGAGAGAGTGCTGGAGCTGGAGTCAGAAGATCTGAGTTCAAATTTTCACTCAGACACTTCATAGCTATGTGCCCCTGAGCAAGTCACTTAACCTCTGTCTGCCTCAATTGCCTCACCTGTAAAATGGGAATGATATTAGCACCTACCTATCAGTGATATCATGAGGATAAAATGAAATATATTTATAAAGTACATTACAAACCTAGAAGTGCTTCATAAATGCTAGCTATTAATTTCACCGACAAGGAGCTGAGCTGCCTGCAAGCATCCAGGCCTTGGGAGTCTTCTTTAATCTCCAAAACCCCATCAGCTTCTGTTTCCAATTCTGGCTTGAAAATGGCATCATTAGCCTCAGGAAAGTCAATGGAGTTTGATGGGCAATTGAAAGAAAGTTAGTCTTCCTGCTTGTTAAATAGCAAGGCTTTCTGTGCATTGGGGAAGAAAGAGGTATAGCAATGATTTGATAACTAAGAAAGGAGTAAGTTCTAGGGTTCATCCTACCCTTGGGGTCATGTGAAGATTTTCAGGGAAGGAATTTCATTTAGTACCTAAATTAGGAGCATTTGGTTCATCTCTTTGTGAGCCTGGATTTCTCTAATATGTTATGACTTTTTATAAGTGATTTGGGCTTTGAAAAGACAAGAATCATAGGGTTAAAGAAACCTACAATAATGTGCTAAAAATGAAGGAAAAAAATGCTTCTGGTTAGACTTGATGTAAAATATTTGTTTGTCAGGCTTCCTACAATGCTCACATTAAAATCTATGAAGTATGCCAGAAACAAAAAAAAGGCACAGCTGGAAAGACAGCAATGAGATTAATGAACATTCACTTTCCTATCTCTTTGTTTTAGGAAATTAGCCATTCTTGTGCATATTTCATTACCGTTTCCCATAAAAAGGGACAAAGGGTTCTGTAGATTAGGTGTTACCTGGGGTAGCCATTACAACAAATTTATGTTTTAGAAAGAACAGTTCAGGATGCTGTCTATGATTTTAAATAACAAAGGGAAATAGCATTATTCTGCCTTTCAGAAAAGTAGAAGGAAGCTAGTCTGGTAGTAAAGCCATAACCAAATCTTGCTCCAAAGCTCTATTGTCAAAAAAACATTTTACAGGTCCATTAACTGTTAATGCTCTTGGGCTGATCAGTTTAAAAGATTTGTCAGAATCTGAACAAAGGGATGACAAGCTCTTATGGACTTGGGAAAATAATAAAGTTGAGTATATTGATATAGTATCCAAGAGCCCCTGATAAAATTGTTTAAAATTAGGATCTGAAGGAGACCTGGTAGATTAAATAATGAAAGAATAGGGTTCATATTTTTAATGTTGCTGTCCATCAGGGAATAGTGCCCTAAAAATGAACATTTTTCAATCTGAATTCTTGTATCTCCAGGATCCATTAATGTACACATCTGTATAGGTTTGTGCTGAAGCCAGCAAGTTCTACCCTGGCCTATGGCAAGGTTTCCTCTCATCCTGTGTTGCTTTCGGACAATCAAATTATCTTAGGTCTGCCTGCTATGTGAGGAGAACTTTGAACAACAAGGGAATGGACCCTTTTTCAGTGAAATTGAACTCATCTCCACCCAGCACATAATAGGTGCTTAACAGATGCTTGCTGACTTGACTTGACAGTGCTATAAGAATTCTAAGGTATGGTTCCAGTTCACAAAGTACATCCCACCTCACTGGGGAGATTTGTGTTTAGTCATTACAGTCATATCTGACTCTTTGTGACCACATTTGGGGGTTTTCTTGGCAAGGATACTGAAGTGATTTCCTTCTCCATATCATTTTACAAATGAGGGAACTGAGGCAAACAGGGTTAAGTGACTTTCCCAGAGTCACACAGTTAGTAAATGTCTAAGGCCAGATTTGAACTTTGGAAGATGAGTCTTCTTGACTCTAGGGAGACAACAATATGTTGGTGAATTTTTGATCTTATTGGTGTAGGTGATTTCTTTCTTTTTTTTATTAATTTATTTTGATTTATCAACAACCACTTCCATAAGCTTTTGAGTTTTAAATTTTTCTCTCCCTCCCTCCCCACCTCCCTCCCCAAGATGGCAGGCAATCTGATATGGGCTCTACATGTACATTCCTATTAAACATATTTTCACATTAGTTATGTTGGAAGGCAGAATTAGAAGCAATAGGAAGAAACACAAAAAAGAGGAAACAAAACAAAACAGAAGGAAAAAAAAGAGCAAATAGTGTGCTTCGATATGCATTCAAACTCCATAGTTCTTTCTTTGGACGTGGATAGCATTTTCCATCATGAGACTTTTGGAGATGTCTTAGATCCTTATATTGCTGAGAAGGCTAAGTCTATCAAAGTTAGTCACTATACAACATGGCTGTTTCTGTGTACAATGTTGTCCTGGTTGTGCTCACTTCACTCAACATCGGTCCATACAAGTCTTTCCAGGTTTTTCTGAAGTCCACTTGCTCATCATTTCTTTTTTTTTCTTTTTTTTTTTTAGGCAATTGGGGTTAAGTAACTTGCTCAGGGTCACACAGCTAGTAAGTGTCAAGTGTTTGGTCTGAGGCCAGATTTGAACTCAGCATATAATAAGGGCCGGTGCTCTATCCACTGCACTACCTAGCTACCCCTCATCATTTCTTCTATCATAATAGTATTCAATTACATTCATATATCACAACTTGTTCAGCCATTCCCCAGTTGATGGGCATCCCCTCAATTTCCAGTTCTTTGCCACCACAGAAAGAGCTGCTATAAATATTTTTGTACATGTGGGTCCTTTTCCCATTTGTATAATCTCTTTGGGATACAGCCCTAGAAGTGCTATTACTGGGTCAAATGGCATGCACATTTTTATAGCCCTTAGGGCATGGTTCTAAATTGCTTTCCAAAATAGTTGGATCATTTCACAACTCCACCAACAATGCATTAGTGTTCCAATTTTCCCACATCTTCTCCAACGTTTATCATTTTCCTGTTTTGTCATGTTGGCCAATCTGATAGGTATGATGTGGTTAGGTGATTTTTTTCAACGTTGTAGATAGCAAACTGTGTATGTCTGCCCATCCTATACTGCTCTTGTCTCTTCTCCTATAAGTATCCTCTTAATATGCTGAGGCCCTTCTTCTAGTTGTCTTGACAGTGTGCAGAGACCAGGGGAAGATAAAGGACATCCATGGGTTATCCTTTTCTTTCACTGGAGGACTAACTGGATGTTCCTATAGATTTTTTCAAAAATATTTCAAAATTTTTTTCATTATTTTCCTATGTTTATCTCATTGGATCCTGTGAGGTAGATAGGATGCCTATTTTTATAGAGGAGGAAAATGAACTTAATCTCAGTTATGTTACAATACAAAGAAACATTTGATTAAGTCCTAAAATGACTGGTATAGACTATAAGTGCTTTAGGCTGGGACTTTGATTTATTCTTATGACTGATCTTCATTTGCCTTGGGCATATTATACTTTTAAGCTTACAAACATGCCAGCAGCGGTTTGGGGGCACAGATGTGCATGTTAGTGAAGAAACAGATCTGACTATTCATTTGGTTTTTGCATTCATGTTATGTTGATTGTTTTTGGTATAAATGTCCTTTGGTGTAAAGCATCATCTTGGATAATGGTTACTCAAGGATGCCAATTGGTTTGGAAAATGCTAGGCTTTTAAACGATTATTATTTTTTTAAATCTGCTAAAATGCTTCTCACTTCACTGGGTATTTGTCTTAAATAATTTAAATAAGCTTTAATTATAATTAGAAAACAAAAAACATATTTTAAATGCTCACAGATTGTTTTAAAATTCTTTCACTCCTTCTAAAGTAGTGTCATTTCACAGCAAGCTGCCATTTTCCCTTAGCAACTGCAATTCACAGATTACAGTTCTCAAGTGTCTTCTTTGCCCCCCTTTCTCTATTTTAGCAACAGATCCACTCCTAGCAACCATGATCGGATACAGCGTCTGAGGCAAGAATTTCAGCAAGCAAAGCAAGATGAGGATGTCGAAGATCGAAGACGTACCTATAGTTTTGAACAACCCTGGGTGAGTGTGTACTTTTTTCCATTCATTGAAGAGCCTTACTACTTCCCCTACTAAAGGTCATACAGCTATGACTGTAGTTCCTCATGCAACATGGAATCACTTTCCTTTGACCTTTAACATCTTGACCTTCCTATCTCCATCTGTGTACCATCTTTGCTAATTTAATTTTATATCTTGTTTAGCCATCTGTCCATCACTTAAAGGTATCATCTGCTATGTGACAAGCCGTAACAAAAGTCATGTGGACCAATACACATTGTTTATGTTGCCTGAAGAGGAATTGGATGTGCTTCTCAAAACCATGAAACCAAAATAAAGTGATTTGAAAAGTAGTTTGTAAACTGATACAAAATACTTTTCAAATCACTTTATTTTGTCTTTGTAGCTCTATTGCCCCACATGAAGGGTCTGTTGTGGGGCAATAGAGATACAAAGACAAAAATGAAATAGCCCTTCCCCTCAAGGAATGCATATTAAGGAAAGCCATATGCATACACACACACACGCACACACACACACACACACACACACACACAGAGTAAGTAAACTCTGCACAAATCCTTTTGCAAGAATTAGGGAAACATATACACAAAAAAGTAAAGCTACAACTCCCTACCCTCTAAGAGCTTATAATCAAGATTTAAGAAATTACATTAAAGAGTGAATATAAGGCAATACAGAATTAAGCTTCAAGGCATGTGGTACAAATCAGTAAATCTTTAGTAACAAAGGAAAGATCGCTATGTGCTGAACTTGCCAGAGAAGGCCTCCTACAGAAGTTGGAACTTCAGCAACATCCTAAAGGATGCTTAGGGGTTTGGGTAGCAGAAGGGTTGAGGGCTGTTTGTGGGAAAGAAAAGGCAGAGCAGGTTAAAGGAAGGAGAGAGCAGTTATGCAAAATCTTGGCGACTGAAATGAGCATTCTCTTTTACAGGGATAGTTAAAGGGACATTCTTGACTTGAGTCAGATAATTGATGTTGAGGAGTAATGCAAGACAAAACTGAAAAGGTAACTTAAAGTTAGTTCGTGGAAAGCCTTGAACACCAGCAAAAATTTTAACTTAATGCACTAGACAACGGGGCACCATTGAAAATTTTTGGCTAAGGGAATGACATGAGCAGACTTGAGCTTTTGGAAAAATAGCTTAGCAATAGTATGTAGGTTCTATTCCTACTGTGTTTCCTAAGTATAGATTCTTTAGGTAAACATTTTCATCCAGTTCAATTTTGAGCAAAGGGACTGGAAGGAACAATGAGCAAAATGGGGGACCTACAGACGAGAGCAACACTTTTTCATGAAAGTGGTTAATGGGAAACAGTATGTCCAACTTGAAGCTGCATGAATGGGTTTGCTGCCTGGAGCAGTTTTCTTGATTTTGAGAAGTCATAAAGGGTTACTTGTGAAAGTGAATATTGCTTTACCACTGTTGGACCTTTATTTCTTTGACCCAGAACCCCAGAAGAAATGAATTTGACAAGTAGCATCCCAAGCTCATAGATTTAGAGCCATAGAAGATCTTGGAGATGATTTTTTCCGGCCCTTCTGTTTATAGACGAGGAAATAGATCTAGGGAGGTGAAATAGCTTGCCTAGAGTATAGCCTCTAAGGCTAGAGAGATGAGAGTCCCATGAAACACATCTGGAATTCAGAGAATTGTTTAGTCCTGAGCGTCTTGCTTAGGATTCTGATAAGGTAGTGTACTTCCAGAGCAGGATAGCCAGGATAGTAAAGGGCCCCAAGATCATGCTGTATCTTAGAAAGGAAGAAAATATTTAGTTCGGTAGGAGAAGGACAGCTGTCTCCATGCAATTGAAGAACTGCCATGAGGAAGAAAAGGGAATGAGTCTTGTACTGTATGGCCACAAAACTAGGAGAAATGGAGGAATTTGCAAAGAGGTAAATTTAAGCTTGATAAGGAAAATCTTCCTAACAATTAGAACTCGAGTAGGTCTCCTGTAAAGGTTGTAGTTTCTCCCACTTTGGAGATCATCAGGCAAAGACCAATTGGGTGTTTGCTGGGAATGCGATAGGAAGGAGTTTTGCTTAAGTGTAAGACAAATGACCTCAAAGGGCCAGTCCAACTCCAAGATTCTCTGATCCTTCAAGTAGAAGGTCATGCCTCATATTCCCAAAGCATTATACCAATAGTAAGTGCTCCTTTAAAATCACCGTGAAGATATAATGCATTGTAATATGTAGGTTGAAGTAGAGTCCTGAAAAGGCTAAGATGTGTGAGCAGTCTTCGAGATTGAAGGAGTGATTGATTGCCCATGCATAATTTAATCTTCAGTTCGGTTTTCTTATGAGATTTTTTTAATGGAGTAGAGGTGTTTGGCATAATTTCTATATAATCTGATGCTTACTCCAAATATGGGAGATGGGAAAAATGCTTGAGAAAATCTTGAACTCTTGTAGACTTGGGAATTCAACTACTGAAGGTCATGGGCCAAATTGTTGTATATCAAAACGCCATAGCAACTTTAGACAGACAACTTGGCCTGTATTATCATTTTCTGTAATGAGTGACCAGGGAATTGTTTGGATGACAAGCTGATTACCTTAGGAATGGAATAGTTTCCTAAATTGTGGGTCAGAACAATGACCTTTTCTTTTTTCTTTTCTTTTTTTTCTTTTTCATTTTCAAACAATTGAGATCTTGCTGAGTACTTGCCATTCTACTGAGCATGTAAACGAGTTCAAAGTGACTGTAATTCCATTTAATGTATTAATTTTAATTCTGATGCTCATGGGTGCCTTAATAAGAGCTGCTCAGTTGTTCAAACTGCAGCTCAGTGTGTGGCTTTTGTTGGCTATCTGCTTTACAAAATGAGCCCTGAATACCTTGGAATGATTGTTTCCCTTATGTATTCTGACCTTGAAAGATCACTGTGCTTGGAAAGGATAAAGCCATGATCTCACCCATTGGAAGGATTTATAATCATTTTAGTGTTAAGGAACCGTAAACTTCTTTTTGAGCTGTGCTGTGCAACTTAGAACGTATTAGCCTGGAATTGTAGAGCCTATAAGAAGTGCCCATATGCAAAATGCATCCAGATGTAGCACATAGAAATGAACCTGAAAAATTATGTAAGCTGATTACTTTACACGAGTAGGAGAATGCTGCAGAAAATTCATCAAAGTGCCCTTTTCAATTCACCTCATCTCCAAATGTTCTCTGTAAACTCTAGGGGTAAGGAGTCACCTGTTTTTGGGTTTTGGTTTAAAATCTCACTTGGATCCTGGGGGAATTGTTTTGTAGCACATAAGGTCCTCAGGTAGACAGAGGGCCCAGAAAACTTCCTTAGCTCCATGATTTGAAATGAACCTAGACTTTTAGTAAAGAAAGCTAAGATGTCCTCTAACTCCCCACCCATGCCCTACCTGGCCAGGCACAGCATAAATAAAATGATCAGTGGCATAAATCTTTAAGATTAAGATGCAAAAACTGAGGGTAGGGTTAACATCCAGAATTCTACAGATGGGCCATTGTATTGCTTTTAAAAGAATTAAATTGCAGGCTGCCAACATAAGTACAGTATGCTGTTAAAACTTTGTAGATACGTGAGTGGTACCCACAAGGAGACTTGCTGGCTGAGGGGATTGATAAATGGGATAATGGAGCGTTTAATAGCTAGATGGCTAAATCCATTCAATTCCAGGTTGCTTGTGACTAAAGGTAGTTCAGTACTTCAAAAAGAAAATTGATACTCAGCAGCAAGAATGTCGTCTTCTGCCAAGCCTTCCACCCAGTTGTCTGTCTTTACAGATGATGATGATGAGATGATGATGATGATAGCAGCTGCAATAATACATTCTATCCTTTACTCTTTTTTTTTTTCTTTCTTGGACTTCCTTCTTTTTTTTTTTGGACACTTCCTTCTTGTGATGCCTCTTCTACATAAAGTAGAATGCCCATCTATAGTAAAGGACTAACCTGTACTACTTGTACTTTGATACAAGTTAGCAAATGTTCAACAAATGAAGATCATTCTTTTAAAAAGTGAATATGGAGTTACCTATGAAATAAAAAAAAAATACTTTCTCAAAATGATGCCAACAGGGCAGAATAAGTATTATTAACCCCATTTTATGGGTGAGAAAACAGAGGCTTAGAGAATGTAAGTGTCTTGCCCCGAGGTCACACAGAGTAAGTGCCAGAGCTCAGACCACAAAAAGACAATTCACTGGTAGGTTCCTCCAGTCTTTTAGGAAGTAGACTTTCTTCCTCCTTAGATAGATGAACGTATTTACCGGCTACGACCAGGTCTCTGATAACAGAGATGGATAGATATTGAAGGGAGATATCAGAAGTAGATAAGAAATAGTGGGGTTCTTGCCCAACATTAGGACATGGGAGAAGGCACTTTTCTATACACTGTTTATCCTAGTTATTTTGCAGAACATTCACATTCATTTTCGATGAGCCTCATGTTTTGAAATGTTAAAACATTAAATGTGAATGCTAGTCAGGAAAAGTAGATGATGACAAATACTGTTTTGAGACAAAAACAGGCTTTTATAAAAATTTGATGAGGGTTATTTGTATGCTCTGCAGATTTTTCAACCATTACTAACATCATTAGCAGCAATTAAGCTTTTCAACCTTGGAGGCCCACAAGAGTTCAATCGATATTTTCTCTAGCGTCTGATAAGTTGCCGAGAGGGTGGGGGAGAGGGGGATAGAGTGCCAAAAAGTGAACTTTATCACAGTCTTGATTAAAATCTAAAACTGTTCTAATTTATCAAATATTGAGTAAATATCATTAAGTGGACTTTAAAATGTAAAATGTTTTGAGTATTTAATGGCAGCTTTGTATGCATCATAGAAGAGGACATCTGAGTTGCTAAAACAGGCTCTCAGAACCTCAGAGGGCATGTGGTTGTCCTGCTGCTATTAACAATCATAACAACAATAATATCTTTTCATCTACTTGGAAATGCACAATTCTTTTGTACTTTACTTTCAGCATACTACACATCCTCCACAGAGGGAAATATGTAAAAAGACCAGAGCTTTTCATCACATGCATTTTGAGTTGCCTACCAACAATTACCTTTTACAGGAAAATTGCTATATGTTCTCTTTTCCATAGCAATGTAAAGGCAGAGAGTAAGAGGGACATTTTGGGACTACTGCATATTTTATATGGTTATAATTTCTGATACATACAGTAATGAATTTCATCTCATACATGTCAAGCATACTTTTATATAAAGCAGAAAAGGTCACAAAGTCTTACCTAGTTCTAATTAGTACTGAAACTTGGTACTCGTTGTGTTTATTTTTGTTCTTTTGGTCTATTAACTGACTGCACATTTGCTATAACCTTTGTGTGAAATCTGAAATCCAGACTGGAAAATGCAAGCTAATTTATTTTGGTAAAATGAGAATGATTTCATTTAATTGAAAAAAATGTTTAATTAAGGAATTTATTTAGCAAAACACTATATGCAATATGATGCCATTTAAATTTTATGTGACACCAATAATTGATACCAAAAGTGTGGAGCTCTCACTTTCCAAATTTAAATTCATATATCTTTAAAAAGAAGACAGAAATCCAACTCCCTTGCATCTCAATTGAAAACCCTCTATAGTTTTCATATGTGGCTTGAGAAACACAGTGAAAAGATTCGAGTGTCATGACCTGGCCAGGCAGTGTATTGTGTAATATATGAGCATATATTTATTTCCATCATACAACCTCCTTTGTTAACACAACTTCAGCTGCTTTTTTGATTTAAAAGGTCAGTGCTTGTCACATATCTCCTTACAAACAAGGCCAGAGTTCTTTGTTAAAACAAATCTGTTGCCGTGTATATTTGGTGGCCTTACAGGATTATTACAATTAGGTCCAAACTTGTGGATCATGCAGATGTTAAGTTGGGCTCCTGATTCAGTTGTTATTGTTGTTTTTGTTGTTGTTGTTTTAATCTCAACTGTACACTTCTTTCAAGATTTGCAAATTATCTTTTTGCCCTCGTTATTTTCTGTTACTTTTAAAGCACATTTTGTGTTTCTGGAGTCACAATTGCACTTTTTTGTGCTTTGTTTTGGAGATGGAGACCAAGGTGCTCCGCAGCTACGATTACCACCACAATTTACATTTTTATGAGGTCCTCATTGAAATTGTGAATTAGTGAAGTACAACCCTTCAGCTACCTTGTGTACAGGTAAAATAGAAAACATGCCTGCTCGCACCTATTTACATATTGTTGTGAATGAGCCTTGCGTATCATTTCCACAGATACTTAGTGACCCAGGACATTTTTATCTAAACCACAGGGACAAAATAGACACAACCACAGACACTATCGCAAAAATTTGGCATCCCCTTGGAGTCAGAAGCAATGCGAAATAGCAATAATGGGACTGATGTTTCTATTTGGTAGCAGGAGGCCTCATTTTATAAAAGCTTCACTGTCTCATTTTAAAGTTTCAGAACTTATTTCGATAAAATCCATGATTGCAAGGTTGTAAAGACTGTTAAGATGAAAAAATGGCCAAGGTTGGAAGAATTTGGGGAGAGCGGAGTCAGAAAATAAATACTGTAAGAAACAAAAGACTCTCAATTTTTTTTTCTCTCTGTCAGAAGTGAGTTTTCAGGCCTCTGGGAAAAACAACTTTAAAAATACACCCGAAATTCCTTCATGGTATTGCATTTTCTTTTCCTTTCTCCAGCAAGCAGTGTCACAGAGCAGCATGAGCTCAAAGGGCTGGTTACTAAAACCTGCTACGGAATGGTAGAACTTTCAAGACCGCTTGACACGTGTGTGTAGCTCTACTGAGCGGAAAGAAGAAAGGAGATGTGATTCTAGTTCTGTTTTTTTAATGGAGGAAAAAAATCCTTTAGCATTTCCTTGCTGGGTCTTCCACTGTTCTCCCATGTCTTACTGCCCACCATGCCAAGAAAAAATAAAAAGACAACCTAACCCCAAAAGCCAGCCCAGCACGTTAGTCTTGAAGGCTGCCCGCATCAAAGGTGTAAGAAGAAAATGTCTTCCCCTCCGAATGTGTTTGTATAAGCCGGACTCGCCGGGTTCAGTGTTTTTCTTGCTGAAGCCTCCACCAATGTGTTATGAGAACTTTGTTGTGGGGTTGATCTCTTAACACACATTTGTTCCAGGGAGTTTGGTTATGAACATTCACTCGTGGAAACTTGGGGATAGTAAAAGCTGAATCTCTTTGTGGTGGTGATTTTGTGCTAGGATTTTTTTTTATATGCTTACTGTTTATACCTATATGCTTTAAAGTTTGCCCTGAAAATCACTGTATTATTGCATCACATGAACAATCAGAGAATGCCAAACTTTATTCATCCACACCCCAAGCAAAGGATGATATCCAACTTGGAGGAAAGCTCTCTTCCTTGTAGAAGAAGCCTGGGTGCCCACTTCTCCTAGGTCCTGATGCTTAAAGGAAACATCTCCATGCGCTGGGGCAGGCTGTTCCCCATGCCCGGAGTGCCCACCCGCCTCACCTCTACCTCTTAGAATCTCTAGCTTTCTTCCAGCCTCACCTCCTCCATGATGCCACCCAGGATCATCCTGCTGTTCTTTGTGCAGGACATGCCACCTTCCTTCCCTATGTCTGCAATGCTGTCCTTTCTCACCTCCACCTTATAAAAGTCTTAGTTTTCTTCAAGACTCAGGTCAAATGCCACCTACTGTCAGAAGTCTTTCCCCGTCCCTCAGCTGCTAGCATCTTCCCTCCAAGGTTACCTTACATACACTCCATGTGTGACTTCTGTGTGCATGAATGTGTGTGTATATATACATATATATAGTACAAGTATTTGTGTGTATATAGACACATATGAATATTAATCAAATAATCAACATATTGACACTAAGTAATTTATATTATATTAATAGTTGAATGTGAATTAATGATAATAGGGAATTAATTGATAGTTCATGTCATTGATTACATTTATGTGTGTATACATATGTGGGTATGTACATACATGTGTGTGTTTGCGTGTTATATGTGTTGTTTCCTCCTTTAGAGTGTAAGCTTCCTGAGGGCAGGGACTGTTTTTGCTTTTTATTTGTATCCCCAGAGCTTAGTGCGGTACTTGGCCCATAGGAAGCTCTTAATAAATGCTTGCTCATCAATTAATATGCACCAATGAAATCACAGGTACAGAATAATTAGATGGCGTATGTACTTATATATCGTTTCCCCGGATACAATCTAAGTTCTTTGAAGGCAGAGACTGGTTCATATACCTAGCACAGAACTTCACACACAGTAGGTACTTAATGATTGCTGGTGATTGATAGTTCCCTTTCATGTCATTGTCTTTCGGTTTTTCAGGGATCTTGGCTTTTAGACATTTGTCAGGCACAGTGGACCCCCTTCTGCATTTTTGCATAATAAAAATAGCTGGGTAGCACAGGCCAGAGGGAAATTAATTAATAGTTCATGTCACTGACAATATGATGAACAACTGCTTAATGCTTCATTAAACAAAAGCCACGGCCCTCTGCTCCAAGCAGAGCTGCTTTTGTTTCCCACAACCAACCAGAGCTGGAAAGCATCCGGACAACTTGTAAGTGAAGAGTTGAAATGTTCAATGGCCTAGCTTGGAGGAAACATAAGGGCCTGTACTCTCTTGTATACGTACTCTGAGTCAGATTTTGTTCAGCACCATGTCTGATGGAAGCTTTTAGATTTTGTCGCTGTTCAGTTGTCTCAGTCCTGTTGGACTCTTTTGATCCCATTTGGGGTTTTCTTAGCAAAGTTACTGGAGTGGTTTGCCACTTCTTTCTCTGCCTCATTTTGCAGATGAGGAAACAGAGACAGATAGGGTTAAATGACTTGCCCAGGATCACACAGCTAATTAGTGACTGAGGCCAGGTTTGAACTCAGGAAGATGAGGCTTCTGGACTGCAAGTCTGGAACTTTATCCACTGTACCACCTAGTTTACCTAAACTTTAAGATAGTTTTATTCAAAATAACTTAGCTTCAAAATAATTTGCAATGTTCTGATTAACCGAGCCAAAATACTACATAGGCTGACAACTAGATATTTAAACAATATAATTATATTATGGATAAGGATGAAATTTAGACACATATGTGTGTGTATGTATGTATGTAGTGGGATTGCAGCCATTTCTTAGAAGAGAGATGTAAAAGCACAAAAAAGGAGTGACTGGACGCATAGTTTCATTTTGTTGCAAGATAATGATTTGTATGCAGACAAATGGCATGTCAGTATAAGCACAAGACAGGCACATGACAGTTTATCTGGTGTGGCTGTTGAGAAAGATGTAATTGCCATTTAAAAAATATAACACACATAGGCAATTCTTAGTTCTCCACTTGTGGATTTTTTCTACTTTGTAAATTGTGGCAGATTTTTCCTAGGTCAGTTTCTACTTTGTTGTCTAATCTTTTTGGACCACCACCCTTTACTTGGCAGTGGAATTATTTTGTTTTGTTTGGGGAAATTTCTGCGTGAAATTATTAGTTGATGTTTATACAGCAATACAACCTAGTTTTGATATTAATATATGCAAAGCATAATCAAATCGGCAAATCTGTACATGTCCCACCCTGAAAAAAAAAGTATTTTAAAGACTTGTGATACATTCCAAAGCCAAGAAATGTGTGATTTCTTTATTATCTATTATTAAGGGATAGTCCATTGTACCCTTTCATTTTCAAGGATATTTATGAAATAATATTGAAGGAAAATAAGGGTTTGAATAATTTGTAAATACTTTAGAATGAATCTACAAGGGTGCCCCAAGGTGATTGAACTCATTATGCTCTTTAAGTCGTTCTGCTTTCCCATGTTTTTCTTACATTTTTCTCTTTTAGCCAAACACTAAAGTATACACACAGAGTGGAAGACATTCAGTTTCTGTGGAAGTGCAGATGCAGAGGCAGAGGCAAGAAGAGAGAGAGAGCTTTCAGCAAGCCCAGCGCCAATACAGCTCATTACCAAGGTATGATGATTCTTTTATGATGCTCCACGTCTCCTAGACTTCGGGAAACCTCTTGGTGGCTCTCCTGTCAAACAGAAGGAGGAAAGACCTCAAAATTAGCAACCACTTCTCCAAATAGCCAAAGGGTAGTCATTGGGGAAGTAGAAACTAAAGGAGTTTGGAGTTGGTACATCTATCCCCAGTAGTTTAGATCACTGCTATACCACTTGGCTAGATGTTAGTTGGTGGTCTTCCATACATTGGCAGGCTTCAATTCAATTCAAGCCAATTTTGGTAAGAGCTACATTCAATGCTGAGACTGCAGAAACTTACACAATACAGTCACTGTCTTCAAGGACTTCTATATTACTGGGCACTACAGCATATGTGCAGATAAGTAAAGACAAGATAAATATGCAATCAAAAACAAAATGATTTCAGGATGGGGGCCCTACCAGCTAGGTGAATCAGAAAAGGCCTCTTGTGGAAGATGCTACTTGATCTGAGTCATAAAAATGGAGTTTCAAGAGGAAGAGGTAAGAAGGGAGAACATTCCAGAAAAAAGGGATAGTCTCTGAAAAGGCATGGAAGAGAGAGATGGTCTGTTACGTACAGGGAATAAGAAGTAGACCAGTTTAGACGGAACATTGAGTATTTTTTTTTAACATTGGGTCTTTAAGAGGGGAGTAAAGTGTAATCAGCCTTGAAAAATAGATTGGAGCTAGATACTCAAGATCTGGATCAGGAGAGAGCCATGATCATCTCTGTGCTTTAGACAGATCAATTTGGCTACTATATATATAGAGGTGGAATTAGAGAAGAGGTTGGATACAGGGAGACAAATTAAGAGTCTACTGTAAAAGTCCATGTGATAGGTGACAACAGACTGAATTAATCAGAAATGACTTAGAGCAACAAGGAAACTATTTTGATACACATTATTTTCAATGATAGAACTGCTTAAAGGAAGTATCATATTACTTGTCCCCAAATCTTTTGTTAGTTGATAGGGAAGTCATAGAAATGAGGTAACACCAACCTGATTTCTTGACAGATAATCAGGGAACTTCTATGAAGCTCTCATTCCATGGATTATTCCTTATCAATCAAAGCATATCTTGCCACCAGAATTAATAGCTCACTGTCCTTCCCTTTACTCTCCTCCTTTATCTCACTGCCCCAATTTGTCTTATTTCTCTATCCAGGGTATACCAGCCACTCAGTCAATAAACATTTATTACGTGCCTACTATGTGCTAGGCACTGTGCTAAGTTTTGAGGATACCCAAAGAGGCAAAAGACAGTTTTAAGGAGCTCACAATCTAACAGGGGAGACATTAAACAAACAAATATGTACAGACAAGCTATATATAGGATGAATAGGGGAAAAGTATGCAAGGGGAGGCACAAGAGGGGTTGGGAAAGGCTTCCCATAGAAGATAGCATTTTAGTTGGGCCTTAAAGGAAGCCAGTAGGCAGAGATGAGGAGGGAGAATATTCAGGAGGAGGACCAGCTGAGAAAATGTCCAGAGCTAAGAGTCGGAGTGTTTTGTCGAAGGAACAGCCAGCAGGCCAATGTGAGTAGATCAAAGAGTACATGGTGGGTGGAGGGTAAAGTGTAAGAAAACTGCAAAAGTAGGAGGGGACTAGGTTATGAAGACCTTTTGACCCTAAGGGCAATAGGGAGCCACTGGAGTTTATTGAGTAGAGGAGTGATGTTAGGAATGGGGGCTTGATGGCTTGATTGGCATGAGGAGAGACTTGAAGCATGCAAACCCACCAAAAGTCTATTGTAATAGTGTAGACATAAAGTGATGAGTGCCTGGACCAGAGAGGTGGCAGTTACAGAGGAAAGAAAGGAGCATAACTGAGAGATATGGAGATAGGAAGAGTCAAGGACAATGGCTATGTCGAGAGCTTGAGGGACTAGAAGGATGGTGTTGCCCTCACCAGTAATTGTGAAGTTAGGAGGTGCGGGAGGGTTTAGAGGGAAAGATAATGAGCTCCATTCTGGACGTGTTGAGTTTAAGAAAGTCTACTGGACATCTAGTCTGAGATGTCTGAGAAGTAGTTGAAGATGTGAGATTGAAGGGCGGCTGAGAGGTTAGGACAGGATAGGTAGTTTTGAGCATTGGTTGTTGTTTGTTTGTCATGGCTAATTCTTAGTGACCCCACATGTGGTTCTCTTGACAAAGATATGAAAATAGTTTGTCATTTCCTTCTCCAGCTCATCTTACAGATGAGGAAACTGAGCAAACGGGGTTAAGCAACTTGCCAGGCTCACATAATTAATAAGTGTCTGAGACCAGATTTGAACTCAGGTCTTCCTGACTCCAGGCCCAGTGCTCTATCTGCTGTGCCACCTAGCTGCCCTAAGTTATATAGTGATGGTAATAATATCTCAAGGACCTGTGATTTATTTCATCACTGTGGGTATTCACTCCATTAATGTAGAAAGTAACGCTTTCTTCATGTGTTCTTGTGGCCAAAACATTGCTTGGTATCCAACTTTCTGATGATGAGCTTCTCTGAGCTTTGCCATGCTGGTCCTTAGAGGATAGCTGTTGGGCCTCTTCATAAACCTGTTCTGCTCATTAGCACCTGCCAGTGATTGCCCTCCCTATCCATAGCCTTAAGGAACACATGCCAAATCATTATGAGGCATTGAAGGAAGGCTTTGGTGGAGTTATTATCATTATTATTATTATTATTATGCAAGTGTTATGATCTTTCCTCTTTAACAAATGGGACAAGTGACATTGGGCAGGGGTTAGGGGGAGTGTCTTTATTATAGTCACACAGCTAGTCAGTTGTGGAAATGGAACTAGAACTCGGGTCCCCTGACCCCTACTCCTGTCCCTTTCCTGGTATAGCTTGCTCATGCACCTGACTTCAGGTTTCTAATTTCCCAAGAGAAGGGATATTAAAGAAGGAACTGGTGAGGCTCAGCCTGAAGAAGACGAGATTTGGGGAGGGGACATGATCACTGTCTTTTCATATCTGAGGGGTTCTTATGTGGAAATGTCTTGCTCTGCTTGATTTCCAAGGACGGGCCTGGGTGGTTATGGGTAAATAGTATTTTTTCTAGGTTCACAGGATTTTTTTCTTTTGAAAGGAAAAGAAGAATTTTCATTTCTCTACTTACTTTAGTTCCTAAAATTGCTTGCAAATGATTCCTCAAATGAAGTATTCTGTGATAGGTTAGTGTCCATGCTAAAAGATCATAGAGAGAAAGTTTTCATTTAAAAGTTACATATCCAGAGGAGACTTCTCTAAAGATATTCTTTTTTAATTTTTTTTAAAATTAATTAATTTATTTTTAGCTTTCAACATTCACTTCCATAAACTTTTGAGTTTTAAAATTTTCTCTCCCTCTCTCCCCACCTCCCTCTCCAAGATGGTGTGCAATCTGATATAGGCTCTACATATACATTCCTATTAAACATATTTTCACATTAGTCATGTTGTAGAGAAGAATTAGAACCAATAGGAGGAACCACAAGAAAGAAGAAACAAAACAAAACAGAGGAAAAAAATAGCAAATAGTATGCTTCGATCTGCATTCAGACTCCATAGTTCTTTCTCTGGATGTGAATAGCATTTTCCATCATGAGACCTTTGGGGATGTCTTAGATCCTTGCATTATTGCTAAGAAGGGCTAAGTCTATCAAAGTTAGTCGTTGCACAATGTGACTGTTTCTGTGTACAATGTTCCCCTGGTTGTGCTCATTTCACTCGGCATCAGTCCAGACAAGTCTTTCCAGGTTTTTCTGAAGTCTGTCTGTTCATCATTTCTTATAGCACAATAGTATTCCATTACATTCATATAACACAACTTGTTCAGCCATTCCCCAATTGATGGGCATCCTCTCAATTTCCAATTCTTGGCCACCACAGAAAGAGCTGCTATAAATATTTTGGTACCTGTGGGTCCTTTTCCCATCTGTGTAATCTCTTTGGGATACAGCCCTAGAAGTGCTGTTGCTGTGTCAAATGGCATGCACGTTTTTATAGCCCTTTGGGCAAAAGGATTCTTTATAGTCAACCAAGGCTTAAAGAAGACTGGAATCCAGGGGTATACTGCAAATCTCTATCCAGCACATTTAATAGTGGGGGGTGGAGAAGAAGGAGGAAGGGGAACAGTATCAGCTCCAAGTTTCTCACCTTTCCCCCTCTATACAGCAAGGTCCTATCTCTGACAAGTGTTAAGGAACCACCCTTAGTTTTACTACCTTCCCAGAGATTCTACAGTAGTGGTGTTTGGTGGGGAAGCAAATGTATCTTCTATTTCCTTCACTTCCAGAACTCCACTTTGGGTACTTTTGAGCTCTATAATTGGATGAGGGGGAGAAGAAGGTCTCCACATGCAACGGCAGGGTGGCCTGTGAAATGTGACTAGAGCCAGTTAGATAGAGTGGGCAATGCTAGTTAATGTTCCTGCACTCACTAGTCAGATTTTAGCAAAGCCCACTCACTAGTCAGAATTTAGCAAAGCCCAAAGGTTGAGTGGATTGAGGATTATGTCCCCTAGGGCATGGTCTCTGGAGGGAATAGCAGCAGAACCAGTGGCAAGAAAACAGCTGGAATCCATGACCAGAAAGCAATTGCCTGGCTTTAGGATAGGTCCTAAGGCAAAAGGAAGAAAAAAGAGAAGAGGAGATCATCTTTCTGGGGAAAAAAACCTTTATGATGACTAGGAGCATCTAAAATTAGGATGCTAGTGGGCTACCCATCACTGGAAATCTTAAAAGAGACACTGGATGACCACTTGTGAGGGATGTTTATAACGGGAATTCCTGTTTAAGTACTGGTTCGATTATATAAACCTCTGAGTTGTTTTCTGACTCTTTCATTCTGAGAGACAAACATACTAGGCAAATAGATGGCATATTCATAGTCACTTCCCCTGCTCTCCAGAACTGTGAAGTCTATATTCTAAGGGAGATGTGGTATGTATCAAACTGGATAGATTAACACACCTGAAAGCCTTTTACCAAAACTCATTAGAGAATTCCTCTGTTG